GAGCTAGGGGCCACGGGCCCAGGAAGCCAGCTGTCTCCAGAAGCTGGAAAAGACACGGCACAGATTCTCCCCTGGAGACCCCAGAAGGAACCAGCCCTTGACTGCAGCCAGTGAAACTGATTTTGGACTTCTGACCTCCACAACCATGAGAGAGGACATTTGGGTTGTTTTTAGCCACTGAGTTTGTGGCTTTTTGTTACAGCCGACCCAGGCAACTAATGCACCCACTAAAATCCCTTACAGCCTTGGAATCGTTGTCTAGATTCCCATGCCTGTAACTCATCTTCCTCCTCACTGTCAGAGTTAAAGGCCTCAGACATACTGGATCATTTCAATTCCTGCCTTTTGCGTTTCAACGGTCTGCCTTTTGTGTATCAGGCAGTTAGTCGTGTGTAATGACCATCCCCAAACTCCGTGGTTACAATAACATCATTTCTTCTCCCTTGTGCATCTGTATCCATGGCTGGGAGTTGGCTGACATGGGCTGGCCCTTCTCTCTAAACTCAGTGACAAGGATTCTGGGCTCTTTCTCAGAGTCCCCCACCCCCAATTTGCTCGCTCTAGTTCTTTCAAGTCTTCATAAAGGGAATCAAACCTGCATTAGGTCTTTTCTCCAAGGTTGTGTTATAGTGGACACACTTCTGATTGGATGAAAGAAAATGGGTTCAATTTCTAACCCGGCAATTTGGGGGCTTGCCCTTATTCTCTGTAAAATTCTGGTGGCAAATTGGCCCATTCTTTTCTTTTCTTTCATGTAGAAATTGATGGAATATAGTTGGTTACAACCAGCCTGCAGTCTTGTTTTCAGATGGTTTCCCAGAGCTGCCGGTGTACAAGGCACATGTTTTGCCTCCCAGGTTAATGCAAGTCATGGTTTTACCAACTATCCCACCATAACTTAACATGATCACTATTTTCCCAGCCTCCTAATTTAAGGTATTTGTGCATGAGAACGTCCAAAGTCTCTGCCTGGCACAGAAGCCCCTCATGACAGACCCTCAAACAATGGTTCTAGCTTCAATTCTTGTGTGTTCTTTCCACGCAGCCTGCTTTCCACTATTAATTATCCTTAACAACTCTGCTTAAATAGCACTCCCCTCGACCCCCTGCAAGCCTGTCCTGTCTCCCCATGTTCACTTTTCTATCATCCTTCTGCATCATACTGTATAATTGAATGTTGAATTATCTAATTAAATAATTCCCCTCTCCCACCCCATTCCGCTTCCGGATCTCTGAGATCATGAGTTGTATTTATCTATGTCCTCAGGCGTATCGCACACACTCAGATGACCCAATACGAACCCGTTTAATTATGCTGCGTCCCAGCATAACAAATAAATTGTTAGTAAATTAAAAGACAAGGGATTGATAGAGGCGGGCGAGCTGATGTCATGAAGTTACAGCGGATCACAACAATTACAGCTGACAGCCGGACAAATACAACAAAAAATGGGGCAGAGTCAAAGGTCATTTAGAGGATGGGGTCCTGAGCCAGCATTTAGAACTGGGATGTTGAATCAAGACCATCAGTGGATGTCTGGAAAGTTTCGTTATAAACAGTGCAAAACCATATGCACATACACAACTTCTGTAAAACTCTTTCTTGTGGATAAAAGGGCATATTATATGCATACTCCCCATTTTTTTTCTTTTTAGTTTTTATTGGAGTATAGTTGATTTACAATGTTGTGTTAGTTTCAGGTGTACAGCAAAGTGAATCAGTTTTATATATACACTTTTTTTTTCATATTCTTTTCCCATATAGGCCATGACAGAGTATTGAGTAGAGTTCCCTGTGCTATACAGTAGGTTCTTATTAGTTATCTATTTGATGTATAGTACTGTGTGTATGTCAATCCCAATCTCCCAATTTATCCCTCCCCCCTCCAATCTTTAAAATTTTTTTTTTTTAGCATTTGAGATTTTTCAGTTCTCTTTAGTTTGCTTAGAACTGCTATGAATTCGTTTCATTTTCCCTCTTTTGTTCAACATTCTTATTATTTGAAAGCTTATCAAAATGGGTGCTAACAAAAAAAAATTTTTTTTTAACTATCAGGTCCATATCGCATTTTACCTAAAATGCTACTACTTATATAGGAAACGTTCAATGGATTTCCCCCTCCTTTTTGTCCTGGCTGCAGGAAAACCTTAGCACATAAGGAATGCTGAAAAAATGTTCAAAGGCCATTTGACCCCTGGTTCTGTGTCTGGAAACCTTTCCCCGAAACCACTTTGCTTTCAATGGAGGGAAACTCGGGGGCACTGGGTCCGGGGTTTGTCTGAGTCCCACAAGTTAGAGGGTACAGGGGTGAGCGAGGTTCACAGGAAGAAAATGGTTCCTCGACAATCAGGGAATGTGCAGTATTCCCGTAACGGGATGTGTCTGCCGGGGCTGCCCCACAGTGATGGGATGCACCAGCCACTTCCTCCACTTTCACATGGTCTGAAAGGAAGTCTTATCCAGCAAGAAACCAAGGCTGAAAAGGAAATCAGCCGGGAATAAAGCAAAGCAAATAAAGACAAGGAAGGGAAAAGACAGAGATGGAAAAGACACGCCAGTCAGAAAAGAGCCCCCACTGTACTTGATGGAACTCCCCATTAAGTACTTTGAGAGGAAGTCACTTGAAATCAAACACATGTACCCTCATGGCTGTTCAGGAGTCCTTTCTCACGAGAAAGACAAAGACCAAAAAAAAAAAAAAAAAGAAAGAGAGAGGGAGGGAGGGAGGAAGAGAGGAAGATGGAAGGAGAGAAAGAAAGGAAGAAAGGAAGGAGGGAAGAAAGAAGAAACTCAGGTGGAACAGCCGTGGCAGATATCAACTTGATCACTCCAACCTCTAGCTGCACAGAACACGTATATTTGGAGCTCAGGGTCAGCCCAGGACCAGTGAGACTGACCACATAGGACACTCTGTCCAGGGCATCTTCATGCCTCACGCCTGAGTATGCAATCAACCACCCGACCTGGGCTTTGGTGATAGGCAGGTGTGACTCAGAGCCACAGGGTGTTCTGAGCGCCTGCCTTTCCGAGCAGCTCTACCTGGGGCTGAAGCTGGTGTGTCCCACCGGCTTTGAGTTGATGGCCACAGAAGGGCCCTGGGCTCCTGTGGACGAAGGAAGGACTGCCCTCCCTCCCACTCCCCTGGATAAGCTCCGCCCTCCCACATGGGGAGCATGCGCAGTGCATGCCCTCCCACAGGGGGCCCTCTGGGATCTTCCTCTCCACTTGCACGCTGTCCACACACACCCCCACACCCCGCCCCACCGCCCTGAGACCTCCGCCACCCCTGGAAGGCGGATGCAGCCAGCAGTGCTTCCATTCCTGCCATCAGCAGAGTCCTGCCTCTGTTCAGGGGTGGGCGGTGCACATCCCAGGCCCCTCCGGCCTCTGCCCCGCCGTCCTCGGGCCACACAGCACCTCTCTGTCCTCTGCGGCAGGATCCACCGCACAGACTGAAGGAGGTTCTGTTTCATTCCCGGAGTTTGTTGCTGTCCCGTTGGCAGACGCACAGACCTTTCTTTAGGCCCCGCCGAGCCCCGGCGTATAAAGCCGTCTTGTGCAGGGACTCAAAAAGACCATTCCCCCCCCCCCCCCCCACCCAAAACCACGTGGATGAATGGCAGCTCGTTTACAGACCCCGAGTGAAAAGCACATTTGTTCTTGGACAAGATGTCTGTATGTGATAAACTCAGAGACGTGTATTAATATTTACTTCTCTCCAGAAGTCACAGCCTGTGCACACAAGCATTAGCTTCCCAATGAATAGAAATAACCGCACAGACTTCCTGCATTATGGCCCTGTCTTGACACAGGATACTCGGATTTTTATCTTCAAGCCATATCAGTAAACAAAGGATATTGCATCCATCAAGCTCTCAGCCACTGCAGGCACCCTGGACTGTGCACCCTGGGGGGACTCAGGATGGAGAAAAGCAGGATACTGGTCCCAGATAGCTACGGTGCATATCAAAAGAGTGATTTCCTATCTTTAGCGTCTTCCCATCCATAGAAAAGTGCTAAATTCATTAACTTGAGATGTCTGTTTTTCTTTCATTAACAGTAACCTTCCAACTATCTTATTTTTTGTTGCAAAAAAGGCCTCTGTACTCTGGCTCCTCCCTGACCTCTTGGAAGAAGTCCCTCAGAGCCATCTGAGAGGCTACCTCCCTGGCTTAAGTCCTCAGCAAGTCCACGGAATAAAACATAATTCTCAACTCTCAGGCTGTGCATTTTCCTTCAGTCAACAAACACAAATGAAGTTTGAAATCATTGTAGGCACAAAATAAAACCATAGTTTAAGAGTTATTTAGTGAGTCTAGCTATATTTATACTCCTGAGAAATAGGAGAGCCCAGCTCATAAGACCTCGAAATTACCTCCTAAAAGAGAGCAAACCCAAGTGAAACCTCATAATGTTAAGAGAAAAAAAAAAACTTAGAAAAGAAAAAAGAAATCAAGGCATTAAAAAAAAAGAGGTGCACGTGTGCTGTGTGGATGATTTATCGACACTATTAAAAGGATAAACTGAAATAAGCTAGTCATGGGGCCAAAGTCATTTAAGTAATTACTTCCACTTCCATCAAAATAAACTTATTATTTTTGCAATTACAAAAGCAATTCATTCTCAGCCTGAAAGGCCAGCTTTAAAGCAGCTGCACGCCTCCAACCCGTCACTATCATTTAACAAATTTAAGGCAACCGCGACCATTGCGGTCTGAAGGGGCCCCGTTTTATCTAAAATGTGCATTTCCCCGCAACCGCCGCCACGCCCGCCTCCCGCTCGCTCCAGCGGTCGGCAGGCACGCACTGCGCATACTCCTCCCCTGTACCGCGCCCTCTCCGCGCACAATGTCCGGCCTCCGACTAGCTCCCGGCGGGCACGCACTGCTCATGCTCCACCGACGGGCCTCCCGAGCGCCGCCACTACAGGCATGCACTGCGAATGCCCAACAGACCGGCCAACTAACCCCGCCCATCCCGGCGAGATGGCACCGCGCATGCTTGCACTTCCGCGGACAAAAGGGCACGTCGCTGGTGCGGGCCGCACCCCAAGAAAGCCTAAAAGCTGAAAGACATGGGGTGGGGTGCCCGCCATCCCCCGCCCCCGTCCCCACTCCAGCTCCTGAGCGCTGTCCAGCCCACTGAAACGCCCCGGCACAGCCACGGCTGGAGTCGTGGGCGCCGACGGGCGACGCCGTGATGACGCCACGTGTCACGGTGACGCACGACATAGGCGACCTTCTTTGGGAGCGCAGCCGGCGCGCCCGTTTTGAAGCTGCCCTGAGCTGGGCGGGCCCCGCCGCGGTCCGGCCTTCCGCCTCCGCCGAGCCCCCGAGTCCGCGCAGCCCCTGGGCGGGGCGCCGCCCTACCCCTGACCCATGACCCCGGGCCAGCGACGCCCGCCGGGCAGTTGACTCCACACCGGACCCCGGGCCCGCGACGCCCGCCGGGCCGGCCGCCTTCACCCGGGACCACGGGTCCGGGACCCCCGTGGGGCTCGTCCCCTCTGGCGGCCGTCGCCTACTACGCGGAGGTCCTTTCAGGCCGGACTTCGGTCCCGGCTCCAGGCACCTGTGCAGGAGGAAGGAGTCCCCCTGGAAGGTGGGTCCGAGCCCCGGAGATGCCGCCCGGCAAAGTCCTGCAGCCCGTCCTGAAGATGAAGGTGGACGAACTCTTCCTGTGCTGGCTCAGCGAGTCCAGCACGCAGGCAATGCTCCAAGACTGCTTGCAGAGGATCAAGATGCCCGGGGGACCCGTGGGGGTCGGGGGAGACGCAGGGCAGCCCGGGCCCCCGTTCGCAGCCCCGGCCCTTGCCTGCAGGCCGCGCGGGTTGGATAGCCCAGGGGCGCCCAGCCTGTCCCCGGCGTCCACCGCTCTCCCCCTGGGAGCCGCCTCTAGTGCCCGGAGTGGACCACCTGTTCGAGGGCCTCGTCGATCCGCAGGGACGAGAGTAGTAAGTTACTCTTCCTTCTAACGCCTGCGGAGGTAACTCGGGTCGCCTGACGTGTAGCTGAGGGTGGCTGAAGATGCTGGAGGAGGGTCAGGCATGAAAGCGCTTGCATGGCTAGCCTCTTCCCTCTGCAAAGTCTCGCACACAGAAAAATGTTGTCTTTGACACATTCCCAAGTTGGGCGTCATTCTGGGACAGCAGTATATTTAATTTTTACAAAAGGTGCTTTTTGATTTTTAATAATGTGTCGGTTAAAAGTAATAAAGCGTCTCCAGGTGTTACGGGAAGACGTATGGTTGGTGCATATCGTACCCCTAGCATACGCCTAAGCCTGAAGGAGTGTGACTGTTCCGTTGGGACTTGATGATAACATTGGAGTGTTTTCGGTTGAGCCCGCATCCATCCCATCAACAGCACTGAGCATATCAGGAGGAGGGACCTCCCCCATCACTTAGTCTGCTGGTTCCCAGCCACGAAGGGGAGGGTGAGAGGTGGATGTCAGTCCGGAAGGAACTCGTCTGGTTCCAAGTGATTGGAGGATGTCTGACATGTTCTCACAGAGCAAGGATATTTTCCAGAAAGTGAGCCTCCAAGGAGGATGGGAGGTAGACCCAGAGGCAGCTTGGGAGACCCTGTAGAAACGCCCCGAAGGAGGCTTATTTGGATCTGCAGGAACGTGTTTCCTGGGACCCATCCCTGAGTCTGACCGTCTGCAGTGCCCCCACTGACCTGCAGAACCACAGTGTTCCAGAAGGCCTGCCTGAGCCCCCATTGAACTGAGGAGGTGGGGACGTGAGGAGGGCCAGGGCTCAGCAAGATTTCTCTAGCAGTGACAGCCCCCTGCCCGTCCACCCTCAGGCACTCTTCCGCCCTGGGATCCCTCAGGCCTTCTGTGGGGAGCTCCCCACTTTGCCACTAAGTATGCTCCGGTGACACAGCCTGGCGGACACCGCTGGAAGATGAATTCTTGTGTTTCGTGACCCCATGACTTGGTGTGAGTCCCCTTAGGTCTGGAGATGTCTACAAAAGGTCAGCTCGTGCAAGGAGGGTGACTTGGATGCATGTGAAGAGAATGTGTTTCTGCGCAGCAAGTAGGAAGTCACAGACCTATGGAAGTTAAGTTCTGTAGGCGTTCACAGCAGGGAGAGGCCATTCCTCTCCGTCTGGAGGGATGGGGCGTGGAGGAAGTGAGCTGTGGGACTAGGGGGTGCCCTGAATTGGGGGAGGGCGCCTGGGGGGGAGGGGACGTGGGGGGGTGGCTATGTTCCAAGTGTGAGGACCAGATGTTTCTGCTCAGAGCCGCCGCACGGCAGGCTGCTGCATCTGGGCCGCGCCAGCCGGATTGGGATTGAGCCAGAAGCAGAGCTCAGGGCTGGGTAATCTCTCTGCCTCTGTGGCCGGCTGCTGGGCTTCCCGAGGGCAGCGACATGGCGGGAGTGGTGTTTCCCCAACCCCACGTTATCGCATTGCCCTGCGCTGCATGGGGCCGGCAGAGAGATGAGCTTCTGCCTGGAGGGGTGGGGCGTGGCCTGGGGGGCGTGGCCAGGATGGAAAGGGGGTGAATGAAAGGAAGTGCTGACGGAGGTGGGGTGAGACTGAAGACCCCTCCTCTGGCCTGTGGTTTTCATGGCCAGATACAGCAAGTCAGCACGAGAAACCGGTTTTGAGGGAAAACAGAATGACTTTCTCTTAGTCGTCCCAAGAGTGTTCAAAAAGTGATGATGGACCTTGCCTGGTACTTGAAGGTGACTTTAAGCACATCTCGGTGTATTTGGAATTTATGGCGCGCTTCACTTGGATTTCGAGAAGCGAGTAACCCAAAAGGATGTTTCTCATTCGGACAAAATGATAAGAGCTCTTTTGCCCCAAGAAGTGGATAATTAATTTCAGAAAAACGTTCATACGTAAAGTGCTGTGAGGAAAGCTCTGAACCTTTTTTTCTTTAACAACTAATAGGAAGCAAGTAAGACTCACGTGAGGCCCTCACCCATGGGAGCGGTGGGGAGGAGGCTGGGTCCTGACGCTCCTCGCAGAGCCCAGGACACCTCAGAGTCCTGGGAGTGACAGGCAACAATCCACCCTCCCCCATCCTGGAGACCAGATGTCTGAGGTCAAGGTGTCCCAGGACCGCGCTCCCTCCAGAGGCTCCAGGGGAGGGTCACTCCTGCCTCTTCCGGCTTCTGGGGGCTCCAGGCGTCCCTGGGCTTGTGGCCGCGTCCCTCCCGTCTCTGCCTCTGTCTTCACGGGGCTTCTCCTCTGTGTCTGGGTCTCTCGCCTTCTGTGTCTTAGAAGGACCCTGTCATTGGATGTAGGGCCACCCTCCTCCAGGAGGACCTCAGCTCAGATCTTTGACTTTATCCCATCTGCAAAGACCCTGGGCACTGTCCCTCCCCCTTCACTGCTGTGCCTCCTCTCCCCACTTGCCATCGCCATCGGAAGCGAAGGGCTCTGTTTTATCTCTCTGCCGCCTGCTGCGTCCCGGGTGCCTGGACACACTCAGACCTCCACGGTGGGTTTGCTGAGGGGTGCGCGTGTCGGCTGACCCCCCAGCCCAGCGGCAGCTGAGCCCCTCCCTGAGTGTGGAAGTAGAGGTGTCAGGGAAAGGGAGGGGCTTGTTCTTAACCCTTGATTTTTGAAAAGTCCAGTTTGTGGGGGGTTAGTTTACATACAGCGAATGGTGCCTATAGGTGTGCGGGACGGTCGTCACACTCACTCACGTGTGAGCACGCCGAGGAGCAGAGCGCTTCCTGCCCCCAGGCCCCGTGCCCCTCGCCCCAGGCAGCCACTCCCGCTCCCAGGATCTGTCTGAGGTGCTGCGCAGCCTGCGCTTCCCTCTCCCTGCCGAGTAGGATCCCGTTGTGTGGATGGACCACAGCCTGATTGTCACTTCAGCACTGGGGGCCACTCGAGCTGTTTCTGTGTGTGCTTCTCATGAATGAAGCTGCTGAGAACCTCGTGTGGACAGGTGTTTGCGTCTCTCTCGGATGAATGACCTTGGAGTGGAATTGCTGGGCTGTGCGCTGTGTGTGTGTTTAACTTAAAAAACAGAACAAAACTGAAAAGCCTCCAAAGCCCCTACACTGTTCTGAGGCAGGTGTCACGTCCCGTTTCCCCAGCCGTGCGTGCGGGTCCTCGTCCACGCCTCCCCGGCACTGGCTGTCCTTAGACTTCTACTTCAGCCGTCCCGGCGGGCATGTTTGTGTCATGGTTTTACCTGCATTTCCCTGTTTTCTGGTGACAGCGAGCATCTTTTCATGACTTATCAGCCATTGTGCGCCGCCTGTCCAAATCTTCTGCCCATTTTGAAAACTGGGTATTTCTCTGTCGTTGAGTCGTAAGGGCTCTTTATGTGGAATCTGGATGCAGCTCCTTTATGAGACACGTTTCCACATATTTCTCTTCAGTCTGTGGCCTGTTTTGTCATTTGTTTAACATGTGTTTTGAAAGCAAAAGCTGTTACTTTTTTGATTCTTTCAATTTTATTCTTTTATGGTTCTTATTTATTACATCCAATCTACGAAATATGTGCCTATCCCAAGCTTTCAGGGTTATCTGCTCTTTTCCTTCTAAAAGCTTCCTGGTTTTCACTTTTGCATTTAAACTTCTGATCCGTTTCATAAGTTTCTGCATGTGGTGTAAGATATCCAGGAACACAGCAGTTTTGAAATCTCTCCTTTTCCCATTGAGTTGCATTGTCTGAAATCAATTGGCCGTATGCGTCTGGGTCTATTTTCTCATCCCTAACCCACTGATCTGTGTTTGTGTTCTCACTCTGGGGCGCTTTGTAGACTAACATGGGGAAAGTGGGTGGTGTACGGCCAACTCTGTTCTTTTAAAACAGCTCTAGCTATGCTGACATTCGCATTTCCACCTAACATTGAGAATCAGCTTATGAACTTGTACAGAAAGGGCCTATTGGCATTTTGATCGGGATTGCATTGAATCTGTAGATCAGCTGGGTGTAACTGATGCCCCCGAACAGCTGAGTTTTCCAGCCCGTGAACTCTGGGTGTTTCTCCGTTTACTTACGTGCCCCATAGTTTCTCTCAGCAATGTTGTGTGCACACAGGTGTCACACCTCCTTGGTTAAATTTATTATCCATCTATTTAGATCTGTCTCTGCAGCTGTTTTGTAGTTTTGGGGGTATCCAGTTAACCGTTGATTCCCTCAGGACATGTGACCATGTTCTAGGTTAGAAGTGTGTTCCTTGGAGACACGCTCGTGTGTATGTGCAGATGCGTGTACACACAGCAGTCACGTGTGTTTACTTTGACGCATCCTTAGATTTTCCTGCAGATGTGTTGGAGACAGAAAGGGCCTGGAAGTCCTCGGAGCAGAAGGTCAGGATCCTGAGAGCGTTTCTGACGGGAGCCTTGAGTTTGCCCAGTGACCGTGACTTCACAGAGGGGCTGAGCTTGGCCATGTTCCATTCTGTGGATCTCTTAGTGAAGAACGATTTCTGGTTTTCGTAGTTGGCATCAACGAGAATCTTTGTGCAGGAAGGAGGGGAAATACTGAGAACTTTTTATCACTGGTCAGGAGTTTGCCACATTGAAGTGGCACGAAGCTAGACGCCCTCCGTTCTCTTCCTGACGAGTGGAACCAGGAGGTTTCTCAGGATCGTGGTGGGGTGTGTGTGAGTGCTCTTGTCGTGTCCCCTCGGGCCTCCCAAACAGGGCCCCGCGCCCGCAGCCTGCATGCGCCACCAACGGCGCCTCACTCTGGTACCCGGCGTCCACCGGGCGCTGCCTGGGCCGCCACAGACAGGGCTGCGTGAGGAGCCTGAGGGCCCTGAGATGCAGATTGGCCACAGCCCACCCCCAGCGATGGTGGGTATCGCCTCGCCCCCAAGTCCTCAGCTTCCCCAAAGCTGCCTGTGGGCCCCCCGTGGACCAGCTTCCCCAGGCCTTGTCCAGGCTGCTGGGTCGAAAGGGGCTGACTTGAGGCTCGGCCACTGGATGGCCACTGTGGCCCGGGGGGGACACTACATGGCCGAACCCAG